GCGGCTCAACTGGGCAGTGATTTATGGCGTCTGTGTTGGTCATTCAACTGCATTTGATTTAGGTTGTAAATTGTTGTATATTGTGGCCATGTCTACGTTTCCTGTTTGGCTTTAGTTTATTTTCTTTCTGCTCACTGATTGTTGTGTTGCTGTTACTGTTACAGTTGCTGTTGCTGTTGATGTTGCTGTTGTTGGCTTTGTTTTTCCATCACTACTCGGAAATTTTTCGCTAATGAATTTATTGCATTTGTTGTGCTGCTCGCCAAGTTGGGAATAGTTCCGAGTGGATTGATTTACAGTGCTATTAATATTAATTACATATATACTTTATGTGTGTGCTGCAACTGTAATACCAAGTGCAATAAAGAAGTTAAGGCATTATGCAAAAATAACAATCGAACGAAGTCATGTCAATGCAATAAATCAGCTTGCATATTTTAGAGTGAACAGTTCGATATTTATTAGTAACTAAGGCAATTAACATACTCATTTAATATCTGTGCACATAAACCTATTAATTTCTTATTATTATAATTGGAGAACTTAAACTAAATTTGTAGCTATTGCAGCAATGTGCAATAAAGAAGTTATGACCTTATGCAAAATAAACATACATTTTTGAAGAATGCAGCTAATTGATGAGTTCGAAAGATAAGCCAAATTATAAATAATATATAAAAATAAATCTATCATTATGCAAAATAAACATCGATTTTTAAAGAATGCAGCTAATTTATCAGTATCAAACATAAGCCAAATTATAAATAATATATATATTCCATGCTGCAAATGTTGGACAAATCTTCTATTTAAATACACCAAGAAATCTTATAGATTTGTTGTATTTATTTTGTGCAGACAGCTATCTGTCAATATTAAATAAATATATAAAAATATTCATTTATTTAATAATAGTAAGAAGTGCATTTAAAAAAGGGGTTTTTTGTTCAAAAGGCAAGTCGAAATTCTACTCGCATAAAAGTTTTTGAAATACAATTTTTGCTTTGCTTTTTTGCTACTAGTTCAATACTGAAATCTATTAAATTTATCGCTGCAAATTTAAGAATTGCTAAATTGCACGTGGCACAAATATATATATATATAGATATCAAGTGTACACAAGCAGATATAATATAATCCCATTAAAAAATGGTTTGCTTCCATGCCTGAGTAGCTGGCTACTTTTTGCCCACCAACCTGTAAACTTATATACGCAGTCATAACTCATAAAATATACGAACAAAGTGCCTGAAGGAAGAAAACAATCGAATGTATATTGTGTCATGTCATTGCCAAATAATATTTCACACGTAAAGCTACCAAAGCAGTTCGACTGATAGCCAAAGTCAGAGGGAAACCCACAGAAATGCGGAAAACTAAGAAAAATTGCGCGGCAGGGAAACAGGAAGAGTGAGAGAGAGGAGAGAATAGCAAATGCTGGTTGTAGCATGTGGCAGGGGCATGGGGAGGAGGACAGACGGTAAATCTACAATATATTGCCAACTATTATGTTATTGTGTGAACGTGCACTGATTTCGCCAACAAGGCTTTGTCCACGTGCAATATTTTTCACTTGCTGGCAAAGGTTTTTGGGACTGGTTGGTTGTTTTGCCTGTAACGGTAAAGTCCAGGGGCGTATCTGAGCTGTGGGTGGGTGCTGAGCGTCTTATCGGGGCGTATAACATATATCATTGACACTTTGACATTGGTGAGCAACTCGGGCGGGGAGTCAAAGTGTGGGCCATGACCGACCGGATTTTAGTACTTTTCAAAATGGCACTTAATCATGGCAGCCGCCTGGCACAGGAAAATGCGGAAACTGGCACACACACCACGCGTAATCGCATGTGTTCACGCTTGAAAGGATAACGACGACGACGACGACGACGACGACAGCGGAGGCTTGCGCCCAGGACTGGCGTGGACTGGCGAGGACTGGCGAGCAGACTGCCAGAACTGGCCTCCTGCCGTCGTGCAACCAAAACGAAATAAGATTAATGACTTGGCAGCGGGAAGCGTAGTTGTTGTAGTTGTTCTAGTTGAGACACAGGCAGCGGCAAAGGCGCAAAAAGGACATGCTGGCTGGCATTGGATAAATTGTTTGCTACTTGGACTGTCATTAGTCGAAAAGTTTGTTTGTTATTGTGTTAAGTGTTATTTGTGCGCATATCCAAGTGTCAGGCTGCCAAGCTGCCATTCAGCTTTCTCCCTTCTCATTTCGCCCCGCACCCTTGTCCCCTTGTCCCCTTGGCCCTCCTTTGAGCCTCCGTCTTAGTTACTCTGTGTATCGTTTATCACTTTCGTTTTGGACACATCCCAGAAATTCGCATGTCATGTTTGGCGTGCATTTTATATATGGCTCTCTATGATGTTGCTTGAAGCCGACACAAACCAAACAAAACTAATTCCCAATGACCACAAAATTTGTGAAATAAACAGACAATCACCGGAACGGCAGGGGAAGCGGGTAGCGCGGTTTCTGCATACGTTTCATGTCCTTAATATGTGCATTTAATGGCCGATGCGTGACTCTGAACTTTAATAGACTTATTGTCTCAAATCAATGTGCAGATCAGACATGGATGTGGGTCTTGTGCGTTAGGCTCATTAAGAAACCAGTCCAGGCCCAAGGGAGTCTTAAGCAGAGTCCTTGAGTATTGAAATAATATTGGTTCTTTAGAAATATATTTTGAAATTTGGGAAATACGATTGTTAAATGAGGAAGGTATAAAAGAACTTATTTATTTATGCTATTCAGAAATACTTTTAATTCGTAAGAAAAACAGCAATAAAGAAATGCAAGCTCCTTATAAGAACTTAAAAAGATATACTTAGAAAATAAATATAGAAAGTGTAGGCTGCTAAGAATAATTAAAATTTAAGTTGGTAATAATATTCCTAGTTTTGTGAGAGAAAATGCCATGCTTCTTACAAAAGTGTATTTATCATTAGCAGAAAGAAAATATCTTTAAAGTGAACTTCATATGAGCTCAAAAAAATGTAAAACTAATTTAAATCATTTATCTGATTCGCTGTGCAGATAAGTTTAGTAATTGCTGTTTACTTTTGTTGAAATGTGTAATATTCGATATTCGATGTTTGACTTGATCAATCTGGAATTCTGGATATTGTCTCATCTGAGCAAATGCATAACAAACATTCTTGAAGCAGACAAACACACCTCACTCTGGAATCTATTTACAGATGGATCAATGCTATCCATCGGCAAAGCCAAATCAATGATCAATCACAATCAAACAAATTTAAATCAACAAGAAAATTCCGCATAAATTCCAGGAAATCCACTATCCGTTTTATGTACACCCCAAAAATAAATGAGAGGTGAAATAATGCACACAACTCTCGACATCTTACTCAGCAATTGCAACAACTGAGAGACTTCCTACAGATATACACACATTCACATACATAGTCATCCATCAAATGCGATTTCAGATGCCTGCTACAATTATTTCGTCTATTTTATTTTTAAAACAAAATTAACGTGTTGTTACTCGACCTGTTCATGTTGTTGTTGTTGTTGTTGTTGTTGCTAATGTGTTTTTATTACGTGAAAAATTGGAAGCAAAGAACGCTCGCATGCCAGAGTTCTCAAGATCATTTTATGGGGCCCCCGAATAACCAAATACCAACGAAACCGAAAAAAATAAACCCAAACCCTATCTCTGACAGGCTCCTGCTGCGTCGCGTCGCAAAGTAGTAGGCGCTGATTGATAGAACAAAGTGAAAATCAAATAAAAAACAAAACATTAAACTATGCACGGCCTCTGCCACATTGCGGTGCAAGATCAAAGACCGCCCCGAGATCTGTAATGACAGCTTTGATCATTGTTTTGCCTTTGATTTTTTCCGGTTCGCTGCTCAATGTGGAACGCCCCAGGGCATCATCGGTCTCTCGGCCAACTTGGGCATCTCTCGGGCATCTCTCGGGCATCTCTCGTGCCTCTCTCCGGCTGTATCCACATCGAGTACTCGCATTCGTACCGTTTTACGGGCAATTTCGCGCCTACTTAAGAAATTTCTGTGCTCAACTCTTTACGGTTGTGTTAAGACCGTATTATTGCACTAAATTATATAACACTCTCATTCTTTTTAGCTGGAATTACAAACACGATAAATATTACAGTTTCGTCCAGTCTGATGTTTGTTATGGCATAATATCAATGTCAGTTTAGATTCAATATATATGGAGGACTATCATTTGTATTAAATTTCTTTTAATCATTTTTTTTATATACAGATACAAACACGAACAATTTTGTGGCATTCAATAGTTTTCGCAAGTCTATTAATTTTTTTATAGAATATTATAAATGTATGTTTACAATGAGTATTATTTTTATTATTCAATGTCGACTAACATCAGTCGAATAAATTCAAGTAAAATAAAATAAAATACAAATAAAATGTAGCATATAATTTGTTAATAAAAAAATGAAATTATAAATAAATTATATATTTTCATTTATTTAAAGAACACTGCGATTATTTACAACAATATAACAGAGAAACATCCCAGACTATAATCTTAATGATTGATTACTAGTTTAATGCCAGACCATAATTAATTTATTTATTTGATTGCCGTTCTTCATTAGGAGTTTCTATTTGTATGGCCAACTAATCTGTGCAAAGACCACAAAATGTCAACAAAAGCTGAGTTAACAAAACAGCTGCAAATATCTCATAGACATTTACTTTGGCCACCACAAATTTCTTTAGATTGTCGCCAACAATTTATGGCATTTTAAAACCCCTTTCGAGTTCTGGCAAACTACGCGGCCCGGCTACAAAATTAGAAAACACAAAAACTTTTCAAATAAAAATCACGTAAACTGTCGCCTCGATTTCAAATGAATCGAGCGATGCACACTCGACATATTTGGACTTAGGCACGATTCTCTGCCTCTGCCTCTGAATCTGCCCCTGCCCCTGCCCCCAACCACAAATAATGGGCGCTGCATGAGCCATGCACTCTATTCCGAGAACCCTTTCTCTTGGCGAGAGCAGCCCGTAGAAGAGGCTATCAATTTATATTTTATTATTGCTGGAACATAAATTCTAGAAAACCACACAATTGAAATTTATGTAATGCCTTCGCAGAAGAGCAAATAACAATGATAAAGGTTGAATGATCTCCCTGCTACCGTTCCAAATGATATTTCAGCAGCGGCCGAGTCTAACAAATAGTAAGTGCTTCTGTTCTTAACACGGCCAATAAATCAGTGTTCATGAAGGCTAGCCTTGTCAAATGGAGGTATGAGTGTTGAATGGGTGTTTTATCTTCTTGTTTTGTTTTTTTTTTTTAGAAATCTGTAACACGGCCCTTGGTCTGCCAGTCACCGTAGCGTGTGGGCTCCAGTCCGCGTGGTCCACCAATTTCACCTGTATGTGGATTGGTATTGTTTGGCCAGGGCAACAGAGGCTCCTTCTCGTGAGCCGGATGTATCATGCCTTTGGCCACCTTGATTACTGGTGCATCCGATCGCAGTTTCTCCTTAAATTTTAAATAACGTTCGCTCGGCTTTGATTGTTGCTCTTCCTTGATATCCTTTGTTTGCTCCTTGATGAGCTCCTCCTCTTGGATCTTAGCATCGACACTATCGCCATAAAAGCGGATTGAAGCAATTGAACACCATTTGTGGTTGCCAAGCAAACGAATCATATTTCAGCTTGAGTTAAGTTGACTAAACAGGGAATATTAATTGTTTTGTGGCGATAGTTTTATTTCCGTTGTTTTTACTAGTTAATTTATGATTTTTTTGTTGGTTTTTTATCTACTTTGCAAATGTTTTTAATATCTGTTACAAAATTTCTATATGCCTACTGAAACTCGTAGAAGTTTTAATATTGTTTCTTGAAATAAATAAATAAATTGTATTTTTCAATTCTAAAGTATTTATTTATTTATGTTACTATAGTATATTTTATAGAAATAATATAACAATTAATAATAAAAGAATTCAAAGATGCTAATAACAATAGTGGTTTATATTTGTATTTTTAAAGTGTTCTAGTAAACAAAAGTCTTTAACAAAGTTAAATATTCTGTCGATGTTGTTGGATAAGATGGATGATAGTTAGGATGAGTGGAGTAGGTTGATAAAGTGGGCCTTTCTGGTGCTATTTGATTATTTAATTGCAGAGTAAAAGTAGCCATTTAAAGACATATAATATTTTCACAAGTTTTAGAAAGAGAGCTTCACATAAGAGTTCGTCTTTATATATTTCGGAAATATGCTTCTTAAAATTCTAAATAAATAAAATACACTTAGTATGTTCGAGTATAGAATTAAGTTGAGCAGCCTCAGCAGCTTGACCCACTAGGAAATCAGTGCATGGAATTAAATTTGATACGCGTTGAATATTGCCAACAAATTTGCTTGAACGCCTCAGCTAGTTACAAGTATGTTACGTGTTATGTGTTGCATGTTGCGTGTTGTGTTGTTATTGGATTGCATCTGTTTGACATTATGTACTCGAACAGCTTGTCCAAACAGTTTGACGCGAGTCTAGTTGACAGCTGAGATCAAATGTCTGCGTTTAAAGCCCGACTGCTTACATTTCTACTGCTGGCAGTCAGAGACTTGACTGACAGCGTGACAGAGTCTAATGACTTTGCAGCAGCTGCTATAGTGATAAACTACGGGTTTTCTTTCATTTTCTTTATTTTTTTTTTGTTTTGCTTTTTTTGCAACTTCCGGAAATGAGTAGCTGACTGGCTGGCAGTTAGCTAAATAGCTAGTCGGGCACAGCAGCAAGCAGCAAGCAGCAAGCATCAAGCAGCTAGCTGGCAGCTAGCAGGCAGTCAGCTTGTCAGGCTATAGTAGTCAACTGTCAAGGCGTCAACCGTTAGCTGATTCATTCATTGATGGCAGCAATTAAAACTGGACATGTGTTGCCTTGGGATAGCCAGCCTGCTCTGATCGTGTCAAGCGGACAGCCATGCAACATAAGTCTCTCTCGGAGGCAACGCCTTGCAGCTTAAGTTGAAGTTTAGAGATGGAGTTGTAGTTGCCGTTGTAGTTGTAGTTGTAGTTGTGTGGCTGCAACAGTCGGTGCAACATCAAAGCATTTTAAATATGGCTTGTGTGTGCACATTCCGTGGCGGCTCGGGAAGAGCGCAAGTGTCTGTCACGCTGGCGCAAAATCACAGCGACATTGCAAATTTGTTCTGCCATCAAATAACAACCCACTCGGAATTGGAGGAGACTCTGTCTCTCTGCTTGGCATCTTTTATTATGTGCCTCTGTTATATTTTTTTGTTTTTTGTTTTGCTTTCGCGGGGCAACATTAAAAGTTGCCGGCTGTCAAGATTCGCATGCGTTTGCATCGTTCTCCTTGTCGACTGCAACTTTCTTTCTTTTCAAGCCCCCGCCAATGGTGCTCCACTTGGAGTTGCAACTTGCGATTGAGGTTGTTAATTCGCTCCTGTCTCTCGCAGTGTGTCAGCTGGCACAGCGGGTTGTTGTTGTTGCTGTTGCAGTCTCTTTTTTTTCTGCTGTTTGTTTGCGGCAAAATTGAAATTGTTGCTTTAACGTCGGCATGACAATAATCTCGCAAATCTGTTTAAATTAAGCGAGACAAATGTTTCTTTTTGCTCCATGCACTCCAATCAGACAACCAGACGGGCACAGCTTGCACAGCCTGGCAGTTGTCCTCCACGCTTTAACAACCATGTCCATATGTGTGAGAGTATTTATCTTGAGCATTTGATGCGAGCCGGGCATTTTCAGCGCGCATAATTCGCGAAAGCTTTGTTTTATTGCGCTTCGTGGTTTGGCGATAAACGGGCCGAGTCTGAAGGAAGTTTGGCTCGCCAGGATGTGCGTGCCACTCATATTAAATATTTTTTTTATATTGACATTTTTATTTGCAAAAAACTTGACAAATTGCAATTATTATTAAATGAAATGTCAATAATTTTGCAGCTTATTTAGCCTTGATTATTTCCTTTCCTCCTAATCAAAGAAAACAGGGTTAATTCGGTTATTCGGTTGCCACTGAATAATTGATGTAAACAATTTACGTAAAGAGCAAAAACATTGAAATATTGAAAAGCAGCGAAAATACATATTTTATGAAAATTACAACCTGCTGCTACATTAATTAAATCGTATAAAATACGCCGACTGAAAGTTCCTGTGGCTTTGATCAGCCGTCAAGTGGTTTGATCGATTTCCAACAATAAAAATTCACCGACAACTTGTTCATAATGAAGATCGGTTGATGTTAATGTTGTTGTTGTTGTTGTTGTTGCCAGCATCTTGTTGTTTTGGTGCTCACAGCGCATCAATCACTCCAAAGCCGCATCGAGCTCTCCACGTGTGTGTAGATCTATATACATATATGTACTGGTATTCGGGCTGTATATCGGTATATATTGCCCGATTGCCCACCCATAAACTTGTTTGATCCTTTTCTTTTTTTCTCTCGTTTTTGGTATTTTACGGAAGAATCGAGCATTTTCACACCGCAATAAAAATCTCAAACATGTTTGTAAAGTTGTTAATGCTGCTGTGCTGTGTGTTGGGCTGTGTTGTGTTGTGTTGGGGGCATGTGTAGGTGGCAGCAACGTATAAATTAACATTTTGACTGCCAACTGGCGCGGCAAATGATCAAAGACACTTTGTGCCGTCATCGTTGCGTTGATCATCGTCATCGTCATCAACGGAGTCGGCAGCGTAGTCGGAGGCGGCATCGCGAACATCATTTCACGTTTACGATCCATCAACACGAGCCATCAAATTGTATACAAACAAACGCAACAAAGATCAAAAGCCGTGTACCTACACACACACACACACACACACACACACTGCCACACACTGCCACACACTGCCACACACACACACACACACACACACGATTTACAGCCGGGTATGCTCATTTCGATTTTCAAATTCATTTAAATGAATTCGGGGACCGAACAACAGCCAACTCTGCCGGAGAGTCACTGTAATATGGCAACGGGAGAAGGAGTTCTGGTAGGGAGTGGGAATGGGAATGGGAATGGAAATGGAAATGAGTATGAAAATGCCTCTTCAGCTGCATATTCATTTCAGATTCTCTTTGTCCAACATGCTCAGCTAATTACTTATGTGCCGACGACTTGGGCCAAGTGTAATGCATTTTTCGTGTGTGCATCTGTGAGAATTATTTTTTTAATCCCACACGGAGTGAGTGTTGTGTTTTATGTGTGGGATACACAATTCCTTGTTTTTTATATTATTTCAAACAACGCCCAAACATTTACGATTTTTAAAAGTAACTTTTGTCTGTATGTATTTATATGCTAGTCACAGATTTATGGGCGAATTAACTTGCTTTCTCTTTGAATAATCTCTCATTAAATAATTTAACTGTGGTAAACTTCTCTTACTATATAGACTCTGAGATTTTCCTATGTTTTCTGCAATTTCTCACTCAATCGATATAGCTCTCTTTCACTCTTAATAACGCTTCATAATTTTGCGATAAATGCTGGACTATTTTACATTTTAATATGTCCAAATTAATTTTCTTTATTATTTATTTATTTCGGGTTTTTCATTTTAAATGTTACCCATTTAGTTTGTGTAAATTTAATTAAAAATATAAATTTAAGATTTTTCTTTCATATTTGTGGACTTTTTTTAATCCATATTAAATAAGTAAATAATAAATAAATTATATGTAATTTATAAATGCTAAATAAAAATAAATATTACCTGATTTTAAATTTGTAAAACATTCAAATTCGTGCATTTTATAATAATAATTGCATTAATTAAATAGAAGCGAATAATAAATAGCAATACCTACTCGAGGAAAGCTGCATTTATCTCTTCTGCCAAGCAAAAATCAAAAAGATGAGGGAAGTAAGGGAACCAGTGGCAAAAGACCATTAGCCTTATCAAATGACAGCATCGTCAAAAAGCTGAAAATTTATATGTTGCCCGTTTGTCAGACTATAAAAATGTACAGATTTAATGCCTATGAGCGGCATGTCAAATTCAATTTTACCCCTAAGATTGATACAGAGAACGAGGACGTATGCGAGAGACCCCAATAAAGTGCAATTAGCCAGATTTATGATTATCCCTGTTATGCACAAATAATTTTTAGGCAATTCTAGATGGGTCTACGACGGGCGCCGTACGTTTTGGGCGAAAAGCCGACGCAAAATTTATAACACCAAACGTAAACAACAAAGAAGACAAATCGCTTTATTCACGGCATTCATTCGGCAGCCGCCACAAGAACACCCCCCGGGCAGGGGTGGGCTGGTCTGGGCTGGGCTCGGCTCGGCTCGGCTCGAGCAGAACAAGACCAAGGCAAACACCCCTTTTGTTTGTGATCTTCTGGTTGAGAAATATGGGCTGACAGCATTATGCCCATAACATGGCATGCTGGGCTAAAGGGTCCATGGTCCTTGTCGTCACCGGAGGCACATAAAATCAAATTGAAATCTGCTCGAAATTTGATATGCTTCTGCCCTGCCTTATGAAGTATGATGTGTGCGTATGTGTGTGTGTGTGTGTGTTTGTGTATGTGTGAGTGTGTGCATGTCGGAGTTACCCAAATAATAGGTTTGGTAGCACTTGCCCAACACCAACTCCTCGGGGCTCGCGGTTGAAAGGTGTTGATAGTTGTTATGTTTCTGAATTTTTCGAAAACCTCAAAGGTTTTTTTTTAATATGAAATGATGAAATGTGATTAGATTCAAGGAAGATATAACTC